GTTTGTATGCACATGCGGAGAATCGACCGTTTAAAGCATGATTACAGGGCTGAAGTTTACAAGTTATACCAGAAGAGAACGTCAATTTGGATACCTTGGTTCAGGTCAGCATCGAGGAAAAGACAAGAACACTTGACTCAAAAATGGTCCACATATCTATATTACAGTTATGGCCTTACATTACCACAATTCAATTGTTATCTTTCTTGTGATGTGTTGGGCATAATAAAAATGAAAGAAATCCACCCAGTATCATTCTGCTGTAAAATTCAATATTACCAATTTGCTCCCTAAACGTAAAGATGTGCAACATATGGAAAGCTCTGAGAACCCTGAAGATACAAGAATGGTTTTCTCATAAACTTGGGAACAGCAATGTGTTTGATATAATTGCGTGTAAAGCTTCCAAATCACTGCAATGTATTTGTTGTAGAAAATGCACTTAATGAAATCTATTCTGCAATTTTTTCAACTCATGAATACAAACTGGTCTATGCATAGGCTTACTGGCATTTTGAGTGTAGAGTATGGTATTGATTCTCATCCTCTCATGGCTGTCTAGGAAGCAGGGAAAAAAATGAGAAAGAAGAAGAAGAAAAAAATCGTAAAATCAAGGTAAAAACTCAACATGGTTTTTTCTTAATACTAATGAATGTCCTGCTCATAGCATTGCAGCCTGTGTATTCCATGTTGTTTTCTCTTTCAGTATTCGTTCATTTGGTGCTTTTCATTAGGTCTTGAAGTATCATTCAATGTCTAAATCTTTGAAAATAGTCATGGCTTAAGATAGATTCTTGCAGGGCAAGGAAACTAGATTAAATAACAATAAAATGAGTACCAAATATTCGGCTTAAAAAATGAGGATATTGTAGAACTTTACGGAATTGCATTAATAAAAGTTCTTGAAAACTTCAGTAGCTGTTCTTCATCTACATTGCTTAAGAACATTCATAAATAATAATCTATATATTTATTCCCTTCGACTACATCCAATGAATTGTCCCGTTTCACAGTGATTACTGACCATTGAGCTAGCTCTATCCTTGGAAATGGGGTTGGAAATGTTCTTTTCTTATGCCTTTTCCTATGATGAATAACAACTATAAGACACATTCAAGCATACTATGCTTTGTTTTGCCAAATTTCGAAAGGTTTCTAGAACAACTTCTCTTAAAGGCTCAAATCGAGGTCAAATTGTCGGAAGGAATATTAATAAAGACGGACAATGTAATAACTATTGTCTGAGTGAAGCCTTGATTAAGGACTTCAATAAGTAGCACTTAAACATTAGGCAAATGTTGGTTATCCGGAAAAACAACATATGTTCCATTCAGACTAAGAACCTGCAATGGCTTTGTCTAGAATGTTTGAAACTATTATGTGGTAACCTAAAGAACTCCCACAACATTTGTAGCACCATATTAAGTTGTTTGCTTAGTTGCCTTGTCTGGTAAGGATACTTGTGTAATCAGGCTTAAAGTGACATCTACCGAGAAATCTTATAGCTCCTCTTAGATATTTTCCCAATTTTATAAATAGAAAGGAATATCTCAGTATGGAATACAATGAGAGAGAGAGAGAGAGAGGAGTTAAAATTATGAAAGTTTTCTGATTGGCCTAAATACACCTACTGAACTTCCTTTGAAGCTTTGAAGTCTTCAATGCAATTGCCAGCCACAGTCTGTTGTAGACATTTTCCATGAATTGAAAATAAGCATATCTCCACGATTTCTTGAAAGTGAGGATGCCACAAACTGCCGAGAATCCAACTGCAAAACCAGGTCCAATCCCAGCAAAGAACCATGAGAAATAAGACTCTTCGCCAGCTTCATGTCTACCACTAGACTTATTCCCATCAGGTGATTTGTCGTCAGGGCAAGTTTTCAAGAGTGGTTTACCACAAAGTCCACTGTTGCCTTCAAAACTAGATGGATCATTCAAGGTTTGGAGCTGATTTCCAGTTGGTATTCGCCCTGATAGATTATTAAATGATAGATTTAGGTAACTCAGAGTGTCTATAGTGGACAAACTTAGAGGGATTGAACCAGAGAGTTCATTTCTTGATAAATCAAGAGACTCTAGTTGTTTCAAATTGCCAATTTTGTCTGGGATTCTTCCACTTAGATGATTATTGGACAAAGTCAAACTTTGCAACCCAACAAGATCCATTAGTTCTTCAGGGACCTCTCCAACTAAATTATTTCCTGAAAGCTCCAGGGATCTTAGATAAGGAAGGTTTGTGGAGTACTCGAGCTCTCTTCCTTTCATAAAGTTTGAAAGCTTTTGAGGATGGCGAGTTAGATAAAATGCAAATGGTGTAATGTCTGATTCAGTAGATACCATTGCACTCAAGTTACCAAAACAGGTAGGAATTTTTCCTTCCAGTTTGTTGTGAGCCAAGTTTAGTACCTGAAGATCTTTAAGGTGGCAGAATTGCATTGAAATATTACCTTCAAGGTTATTGGATTGAAGTCTGAGAATTCTTAGATTTGATAACCCATTGCAAATCCAGGCAGGTAAAATGCCTGATAGTCCATTTTCTCCAAGATCAAGAACTTGTAGATTTTTCATGTTCTGCATTTTCCAGGGGAGCTCCCCGTGAAACTTATTTTTGCTCAAGAGTAAATATACCAGAGGTTCCATGTAGCCTAATGAATTTGGGATATGACCAGACAGGCTGTTGTTTCTCAAGTTCAGTGTCTTCAACTGCTGCAGCTTCCCCAGGCATAGAGGGACTCTTCCTGTTAACTGATTGTTGGAGAGATCTAAGGTGAACAAAGACTGTATGTTGCATATACAATCAGGGATGCTTCCAGTCAATTGGTTATCATTCAGATGGAGATATCTCAATATCAGTGGAATTTCCGAGTTCCCATCAAGGGGAGGAATATTTCCAGTTAGCAAATTTCTTGAAGCATCAAATGCAACAGCATTTGGTGGAAACGATACCAAGGAGCCCTCAAATTTGTTGGAATAAAAAATTATGAGTCGATCAAACGTGTTAATTTCTTTGAACACTGGTGGCTTGCCTGTTATGTTGTTGGTGCTAAGATCCAAGTAATGAATCTGCGAATACACCTTTTCAAACCAATCAGGGATGGTATCTGAGATGCTTGCATTTGACATGATCAATGTATTAACCTCCCTTTGTGTTTGAAGCCATGAAGGAAATGGAGGTCCTAATTTGGTGGAACCCATGTGAATATATTGTAGTTGAAATGGAGGAATCCACATGGAGCTTACATTCCAACTCAGCAAGGTTGAAGAAATATCCAGAATTTTGAGTTCCCTGAGATTGGCAAAGTGGAAATCAGACAGCATACCAGTAAATGGGTTGTCTGCAAGACGTAACCTTTGCAGTTTAGTGAGCTGCCCAAGACTTGTAGGAATGGTACCAGAAAACTCATTAGAATGAACATGGAGTATAGTAAGAGAAGATAGTTTCCCCAGGCAAACTGGAAGTGATCCCTGAAAGTGATTAAAACTCAAATCGACATAAGCAAGGCTACTCAAATTACACAGTGAATCTGGTAATGAAGTTCTGAAGCTATTGGAAGAAAGATGAAGCAAAGTAAGAGAGGTCAGTTGCAAAAGGGAGTCAGGAATTGGACCAAAGAAGTAGTTACCTTCAAGGTGAAGGTTCATGAGTGAAGTCATATTAGAGAACCAGAGAGGAATTGGAGAACTAAAGCCATTCCCTTTGAGGTCAAGGGAAGTAAGAGAAGTGAAATTAATGTGTGAAACAGGAGGAATAGTTTTAAGATCACAACCTGCCAAAGTTAATGATAACAAAGATGGGAGCATGTTAACAGCATGCAACCAATCTCCTTTGTTCACAATCTGTACGCCAGACAAGTCTAAGCTTTCTAGAGAAGAAAGCTTAGCTATCCACCAAAGATCTTTTGCAGTCAATGTGAAGTCTGAGCCAAAACTCCAGCCTTGAGGTGTATCTCCAAGATGGAGGTACTTTAACCTTGAGAGGTTTCCTAGATCATCAGGAACCATTCCTTCAAAACCGGCACTAGACAGGTCGAGATATCTCAAATTCCTTAAGGATCCCAAGAATGTTGGGATTGGAATGCCTGAGAAGTTGTTCATGCTAAGGTCCAAATATTGCAAATGCTCCAACTCGAGTAAAGATGGACTTATCTCACCTCCCAAGCAGGTTGTGCTGTAACTGTTAGCGTAGATTACATCATAAAAGTACCTAGAAGGATCGAATGGAAATTGGTTATGGAGGTCAAGCTTGACAACATGGCCATTACTCTTGCTACAACCAATTCCTTCCCATGAACAACAGTTTTCTCCACACCAGGATGACAGATGGTGTGATTCATCTATTAGGCTTTCCCTAAACTTGAGAAGAGCTTTTCGCTCTCTCTCAATGCAGCTTGTGTTTGAGTAGATTTTTTGTGTATGACAAAGCTGAAATTGCACAATGAGAAGCCAAAAATTAAAGGAAAGTAAAGTCGCAACATGGAGATTTCCCATTGCTTTTCTCATGTTGATAAAGGAAATTAGGTGTTTATGGAAATATTGTTTTATGATGGTTTCATGTGAACTCTGGTAGCTAATATAGAAAATGATCCTGCTTGATCTATACTGAGGTCTTCATCATGCTTGACCTGTGGATTTCCACTACTTGAAGTGCTTGTGGACGTCAACTGAATCTTCAATGAGCATGCATTCTAGGAGACCTTGACAAAGTCTCCAACATGCGCAGGGCAGGTCATTCCAACTATCAGTTCTTGGGGACTCGGGAGAATTGAAACTTTTTTGATTGCTTCTTGTTAATTAAGGAAAATTGTAAAAAGGGCTATTCAATTGCTTGATTAAGAAAAAGGTGCGTGCATAAATTTGAGTTTTTTTTAAAACTATTTTATTGCAAGGGAAATTCTCGTACAAAATGTTCTTTTTCTTTTTTTTTTTTGGTGCAGATTAAGTAGCAAATTTTGATTGGAAAAAAAAAAACAGAGAGCATAAACGTCCTTGAGAGTAACTAACCTAGAACTACATCTATTTTATTAATCATCTGACTGAACGAGTATTTTCACTCAATTTCTCAATTATTTCTCTTTCAATTTTGTGCTGACTTGGTCCACCACTCTAATTTTGACTCACTGAACTGAAAATTTTGAGAAACAGTTATCCAGGCATGGCTCTGAAATTGTTTCTTCACTGCAGCTTCATCATAGACTTTTTTCACCAGGGTAGTCTTGCCGAGTCCCCCCATTCCCACAACAGAAACTACTTACAATTGGGAATGGTCATCAAGGATTTTTGAGATGAGCTCTGCTTTTGGCTTATCAATCCCAACAAGTCGAGCTTCTTCAATGAAGAGTGATTGAGCACGAATGTCAAAATCTGCATTTGCCTGTCGGGAAGAGCTGAAGCCTCTTTCTTGAGTACCATATAGGGCTTGGTACCTCTGATGCCTTGCTGAAATCTCTCCAACTCTGGCCTTGATGTCTTTTATCTCCAAAGAAATTTGATGGCGAGCTTTCAGATTCTTTATTGAGTTATAGATCTTTCCAGCCTTGCCACAGAATCCGTCCTTGTAGCCACGAGCAAAGCGGAAGGTAAAATCATCGAGAACATCCTCTGTATCATAAGCAACTTCTCGAATGCTGAGATATGCCAACTTTTCTACAGATTTTATCAGATTGAGTTTGATATCAAAATAATTTAGTTATTAGAAAATAAGGATATTTGTTAACCAAAGATCATGTTGGTTTGTTAACAAATATTTTAGATAAGATTTGCTAGTAGTAGAAGATTATATTTTGTTGAGATTTTTAGGATAATTGTTAGTTGGATATTTTGCTAGTTTGTTTCATGTAATCACTATAAATAGTGAGTTGATGAATGTAGAACAAAAACTCATTTTCTACCTTCAATACAAGTCTCTTATAAGCTTTTTTTGCAACACTAAGGTGTTGTTTCTTAGTTTATGCCCCAAAAAACCAACAAAATGGTATCAGAGCCTATATCTTAAGGGCTTGAGTCTTCTTTTTTTGAGAGTGATGCATTGGTGAGGATCCTTTATAAGTTCAAAACCATGACAGGAAAGAACTTTTTGTCAAATGTTTCAACTTTTAGTGGTGAAACTTACCAAATTTGGGCCATAAAATTTTGGACTTATTTGGTAGTCAATGATCTACGGGATATGGTGGAGACGAATTTTGTTTCATCAGCATTTGAAGAGCTGATGGATACACAAATTAGAGACCACAGAGTTGTAATCAGACAGAGATCCAAGGCCAGCATTCACATATCAGTTTTTGATGCCGTTTTCACAAAGATAATGGCTAATGATTTGATTGAGAATAAATTATTCTCAATTAAAATAAAAAGGAGAAGTTTCACTATGAATTGGTCAGATTTTGACAACTCTAAAGTGGAACATGATGATGAAATCAAGAATTCAGATCCTGAAAAAATTCAGGAGGAGATCATTGATAAGTCAGGAAGTATCAAATTGATTCCTGATATTTATCAAGATTATAACATTTCTATTTTTGAGTCTACAGATTTTGATGATGATGACAAAATGAAGAATCATGCAGAATTTCATATTTTCTGTATAGGTTCAAATATTGTCAAAGAATGTTCCACTTTAAACCTATGAGAAGGTTATTTGGAAACATTAAAAAAAATCATCTTTTATGTGGAGTTTGGCATGAGAAGACAAAAGAAGTGGTTTGTTGCAAGACTAATATTTAGCTTGCATAAAAATCCAAAGGAAGAAGTTCATTGCAAGGCTAATCATCAATTGCAGAATCTCTTACAAAAGTCTCTCCAAAACAAGGTTCAAAGATTTGAGAAGACAATTGAAAATCTACAGCAAAAGTGGCAAGGAGGAGTGTTGAGATATGCCAACTTTTCTACAGATTTTATCAGATTGAGTTTGATATCAAAATAATTTAGTTATTAGAAAATAAGGATATTTGTTAACCAAAGATCATGTTGGTTTGTTAACAAATATTTTAGATAAGATTTGCTAGTAGTAGAAGATTATATTTTGTTGAGATTTTTAGGATAATTGTTAGTTGGATATTTTGCTAGTTTGTTTCATGTAATCACTATAAATAGTGAGTTGATGAATGTAGAACAAAAGTTCATTTTCTACCTTCAATACAAGTCTCTTATAAGCTTTTTTTGTAACACTAAGGTGTTGTTTCTTAGTTTATGCCCCAAAAAACCAACATCGAACCTGCTTTAGCCATTCTTGGAGTTGAGAATCATTGTCTTCCTTTGCTTCAGCTTCTTTGAGGAAAGACTTCATGCTCCCGAGTTCATCTTTGATGAATTGAACATCTGATTTAAGCCCCCCCAAAAGTGTGATCTCTTGGGAAAGCAAGGTTGAGAGCTGGTTAATCAAAAAACCTACAACACTCTCTGCCATAATGCCAAGTCAAATTTCTCAAGAATCAGTTTTCTTATCAAAAAAATTTTGAGAGTTGTTCCAAATTTCAGAAACTATGCTGTTTTTCTTTTTCTTTCTTTCTTTTGTAGTATAGAGGATGCGGTTTATATGAGCTAGCAAATTCTAGAATTATATGAATTTGAAAGAATTGCTGTTCAAGAATGATATGAATTTGAGAACGTATGCTTTTTTTTCCCTTTGTGGTATAAACAAGGAGTTTTATTTGGCATTTTGGTAGTACATATCAAAAGTTATTGTGGTCAAAAAGTGAAATGTCAGTCTACTCAAAAGAAAAGGTATAGAGAGCATAACCTAAAAAAATAGGTAAAGAATAACTATTCTCTTGGGCTAAGAAAGGCATAGAGAAAATTTTGGATTTCTTTTGATTGTTTAAATTGGAAAGGAAGGCATTTGTCATGTGGAATCTAACAATCTTCAGATAATGTTCAGCTCCCTTCTAATGTTTTCTTAATTTGCTCCAAAAAGAAATGGCTAGCTATGATTCTAAGTAAAACTAATAGATAGGAAAAAAAAATATGTTGTCCCTAAGATCCAACTTACTTTGGTAGGGATGATAATCACGTAAAGGTAAAGTCCTTGATTTGTCTCTTGTGCTTGAAGATCGTTCTTGAAATTGGCACTTTGGTAATACTTGCAAAGTAACATAAATTCATTGTAACGAAACAAAGAAAGATTTGCCTACCTGCAACGAAAAGCATATTGGGCATAACCTAAGAAATGGGCAAAGCATATTAGAATACATATATTCTCATGCTAAGAAAGGCAACGATAAAATTTTGATTAGTTAAGTTGGAAAGCAAGGTATTTGTCATAGTCAATCTAACAATATTCTTGAGAAATGTTCAACTCCGCTTCTAAGTTGTTTTTGATTCGCTTCCAAATGTGTAGCTAAGATTCTAAATAAAACCAGCTGAAAAGAAAAAGTTGACTAGGAAAAGACGATCTACAAATTATAAGGATTTTAGCATGATAATAACCACATCATATTTCATTTCAAATGCCAATGGAGATTGGAAACTGAAATATTTGGAGTGTATTTAGTAAAACATCTATAGGCAGTTGCAGAAAAACTTGTATACAAGAACGTGCTTTTTTGCAGAAAGTCCAATCACATAACCATATAAATCTATATAGTTTTATATAAAATGGAAATTGAGAAGAAAATAACTCCAATCATAACAAATGACCTAAATGCGCTCCAGGAACGCGTGTCATGGGTTAGTTATGCCTGTCAATGGATTAAACCAATTTAATTTTGCCCGTCAATTATTGAAATGTTTCCTCAATTGTTCTATATTTGCCTAAAATCACAAATTTTATGGAGAAAATTTTTTTTTTGTCAAAATATTAAGGATCGTTTTGGTGAGCAAGCTAAACATTAGGAATCAAAACTGCGTTTCTTCCTTATTTCACTATCTCTTCTTTGATTTTCTCAAAAGAATAAACCTTTTGAATTGATTTTTTAAACAATCGTAAACATACCTCTTGAACTTATTTTTTCTTTCTTTACATGCGAAGAAAGAACTTCATTTAAAAAATGGAAAGAAGAGAATATGTTTGAATAACTTCCATTCATGTCAGGCTTAAATTCTTTTCATCAATTTTTTGAACTACCAATCTCAATTAAAAAGAAAATGTTTCTTCATTAAACCCTACTAAAACTTGCGTACCTATAGCCTCAAAAGTAATCGAACTAAATCTTTTTAGCAGAATCATGACTTATGATGCACAGAAAGAAACCCAATAATCAAGAACGCATGAACACATTGTAAATCCCAACTAATCAAAATCTAGTAAAGTTTTAACTACAGGTTCAATACTTACAACGCAAACAATAAGACGAACCTAAAAACAACCCTTCATATTGTGTAACAAAGCGGTGCCTATTGGAGTTCTCTTAATAGCAACAAATGAGAGAAGGAAAGTTCTTTTCCAAATTTTGGAGTTTTCAAAAGGCAAATAATATTACCATTCGTGAAAAAAAAAGGCCTCACACACTCTTTCTCTTCTTTTTATTGTGTAAAAAGGCAATGTAGCCCATTTATCATTGTGCCTATTTGTTAACTACTGTAATTGTCCTAAGGCTTCACAGTTGCTATAAAAGAGTTCCTTTGCCTCTTTCTTCACGACCAAAACCGTTCTTTCTCTACCATTGTACATTTTCTAGCAATGGCAAAAGATTAAAATTGCAAGGGCCTACTAGATCACATGAAACTGGAGGAAATCAATGATATTTGAAAACCACAAGTCTGGAAGAATTCTTGAATTTTGTCAATTGCTTTTATCTTCCATAGGTAATATTTTTAAAGATTGATCTTTTTCATTATTTTGTTTGTTTTATTAGAAACATGATGTTACAAGTTTGAACATAACAATTCAATATTTTGATTAGAGATTTTTTTTTTGGATAGTTTAAGTTATCAAAAATAATATATTTGCAAAAAAGAGGTCAATTTGCAGTAGTATGCCAATATACTGGCTTTTTTTGGATTGCCATTCTCTGGACAAAATTTTCATGTTTTTTGGGAATATTTCCTTGATACATTTTTCAATGAACTTTTTATTTTATATATATCATATCTAAAAAAGTATTACAATATACCCTTCCAAAAAATGCAATCCAAACAATATACTTCCATGATCAATCATAGTAGTATTGCGATTAGAACCTTTTTTTTTACAATTAGAATAAAAAACTAAAAAAGAAAAATAGAACCTAGACAACAAAATCGATTATGTGACTTGACTTTCAAGATTACTTGAAATAATTCTAATCTAGGTGAAGATAACTTGTAGTATTTTGGGTAATTTTTTTCAAAGGTCAAAAGGCTGTTTGGGTACAAAGGAATATGAGTACTATTAATTTCATTTAAATCAAAAGAAGGGAAGGACTTAGGCCTGTCAATTGGGCCATTTGAATTAGTACCACTTTTGGATTTCGAATTATGAGTTTTGGATTGATAAATATGAAACTCGTACTTGACTCACAAAATATTCAAATTGTGAGTTTAATTCGGACTTAACTCAAACTCACTTATAACTCCTTAATTTCCTTAGGGTACGTTTGGTTCTACAGAATTGGAATTGAATTAGAATTGAAATTCTATAGAATTTGAATTCTATGAATTGGAAATCCAAATCCTTGCAATTCTTTCGTTTGGAAAATACATAGAATTGATACAGAATTTATTTGGAATTCCAAATTCTTTGTTTGGATGAGAGAAGAATTCATTAGGAATTAGAATTGTTTTCATGAAACATTTGCTTACATAAAATTTTTCTTTTTTTATATAATAATTTCTTTTTTTTCTTACATTTAGCTAATTTTTACTAAAAATTTAAAGGAAGAAACCAATTTGTACCTTTAATAATTTATTTTTTCTTGCATTTAGCTAATTGTTACTCAAGCTTTAATGAAAAATGCAAATTACTTCCTTTTTGGCAATATATCAGCCAAAACCCCGAAACTAGCTAGGACATTCTGGCAAAATTACAACAAACAATGACAATATAAATAGAAAATATTGCAACAATGATAATATAAATAGACACCTGCATATCAAGAACAGAATACTTGTGCTAAATTGCTTGCTTAAACAACCATCATAGAGATAGAGGTTATATACACTGTAGTGGAAAAGTAGCCCTCATTTCTGGCTACTTTAACATTGAAATGGTTTGTTAGCAATCGAAACTTTTGGCCTCTGGAAGCAACACCAGTCCTAGCCATTAGTAGTCTCTTGGCGTCTGAAAAAAGCAAACATTGATACAGCCAAATATTGATATAATCCATGAATACTATAATGAAAAAAGCAAATTACTTCCTTTTTTGCAAAATACCAGCCAAAACCTTGATAAGCCCCAAGAGCAACAACCAGCTGAGACATTCAGGCAAAACCACAACCAACAATGACAATATAAATAGAAAATATTACAAAACAAATTCATGATTCTTTAGAAGAATGCATTCTCACTAAAAGTTTAATAAATGTATTCTCGCTAAAAGAAATAGAAAAATGTATTCTCGCTAAAAGCCTAAAACAAGCCAAAGAGAAAGGTAGCCCTTTTGAATTGTAATAGTCCTTTCTAGTTTCAAAGGTAAGACAAGACTTCAACCAATTGTGGATTTCAAAAACACAAAACAAAGGAACCAAGCCATCAGCTTCAACATTGAAACACCAAGGCACCACCACTTTCCTCCTCCTTGCAGACCTACACAGGCCATCACAATGTTTCCATGTCAGGTAAGGGTGACTGTAAAACTGCATAAGCTCAATGCTAAATTAAGACCATTTTCCTTTGACAAATAATACTTGAATAAGGACACAACGACCATTTTGCTTTAGCTGTAGGGCAAATGTACCATTTTCACAAGAAATGAAGCACCTGCCTCTAGCTTTTCCTCTTGCTTCTTAATATCATTCTCATCTAATATTCAGCGCCTTCCAAGAAATTTGACAGGGTCACTAATTTGCTACAACAAGTATACAATAATCTCACCTCCTTTAAAGAACAAGACACTGCACCTAGTGTGAAAAGTTAACAAAATAAGGAAGTAGAATTAATAGGCTTAATCAAGGGAAATTGCAGTTATATCCAAGGCTTACTTACAGATGTTACTCTACAAGCAGTTAGTTTAAGTTCTTGTTCAAGTAGACCAGGCTCTGCTTCATTTAATTGGTGAAAACCTCTCTCCACTACCCTGTAATAAATTCAATCGTGGGATTATTTGTAAAAGTCATTACCGTTTATAACATACCTCGTCGCTAATTTTATCATACACCAAGTGCTACACAGCTATTGTTACAGGACTTTTATCAGATTTTGCATGGACATCCGACTGCAATAATGCTCTCTGCACTTTCTGCACAGAGTTCCAAGTGCTACACAGGTCTCAGACAAAACTTAGTGGAGAAGTGTAAAAATACATAAAACTTTGACTGATGAAGATGCATATAACTGAAAATTTGATAATGCAAAACTCGGG